CGCTGTGCTGGAAGAAGCACAAGCTGGAATCAAGATTGCCGGGAGAAATATCAATAACCTCAGATATGCAGATGACACCATCCTTATGGCAGAAAGTGAAGAACTAAAGAGCCTCTTCATGAAAGTGAAATAAGACAGTGAAAAAGTTGGCTTAAAGCTCAACATTTAGAAAACTAAGGTCATGGCATCCAGTCCCATCACTTCATAGCAAATAGATGGGGAAACAGTGGAATCAGTGGCAGACTTTATCTTTGGGGGCTAAAAATCACTGCAGATGGTGACTGCAGCCACGAAATTAAAAGACGCTTACTCCTTGGCAGGAAAGTTATGACCATCTAGACAGCATATTAAAAAGCAGAAACATTACTTTGCCAACAAAGGTCCGTCTAGTCAAGGCTATGGACTGAGGTCCAGTAGTCATGTATGGATGTGAGAATTGGGCTATAAAGAAAGCTGACTGTCGAAGAATTGACGCTTTTGAACTGTGGTATTGGAGAAGGCTCTTAAGAGTCCCTTGGACTGCAAGGCGATCTAACCAGTCCATCCTAAAGGAAATCAGTCCTGAATATTCATTGGAAGGACTGATGTTGAATCTGAAACTCCAAAACTTTGGCCACCTGATGCAAAGAGACGACTCATTTGAAAAGACCTTGATGCTGGGAAAGATTGAAGGCAGGAGAAGAAGTGGATGACAGAGGATGAGATGGTTGGATGGCATCGCAGACTCAACGGACATGAGTTTGAGTAAACCCCAGGAATTGGGGTTTACTTGGTAAACCAAGGAAGGCTTGGTGTGCTGCAGTCCATGGGGTTGCAAGGAGTTGGACAACACTGAATGACTGAACTGAATACATGAAAATTCTGCATGTCACCTGAGATCTGCCTGATGAAAATACTTCAAAAATATATCTCCCCTTCCAATTGGTCTTCAGTGTCACCACTCTAGTCTAAGCCAGGATCATCCTACCTAGACTCCTGCGATGCCCTCACAACTATCCCTTGCTTCCTCTTTTGATCGCTTCCTGTATCTCCTCAATCCATGCTCACTGTGCTCAATCCATGCCACGCAGGCTTCATTTCAGGTGCCTGCATAGACCTGGTCTATTTCACGGCCTACTCCTCTATCCAGACAGTTCATGCACACTCTAACCTGGCCAACTCCCAGTTATCTTATCACTTTCTGAGTGTCACCTTCTCTGATGACCCACCCACTCCCTCCACCACACACACACAGACTATGTCAGTATGTGATTTAGACTCTTAGACTCTTTTAATCTAAGACCGCTATACTGTGCTTACAGAGTGTTCTTCAATTTGTAATTATATATTCACTTGTGTAATTCTATGCTTTACCTCTCTCTCCCCAACTAGGTAATACGTTCATGGACACAGGACTTGGTCTGTTTTGATACTCACTACGTTTCTACCACCTACCACAGAGTCCAGCACCTATTTGTCACTCAACAAATACAAGCTGAGTAAATGAATGAATGAGAGCAGCTCAAGGACATCTTCTCCCATGAAGACTTCGTCACATGCCTAGGTCACAGAGATACTTCTCTTTTTTAACATCCAGTAGCATTCTTGTTTATGACACCTAATTTTTTCCTGGATGATACACTGTGCTATAGTTCATAAATGTCTCTTATTTTTATTTTTCTAATCAGATTCTTTTCTTTGAGGATGGGATCTGGCCTCCAGCTACTTCTAGAATCCAATTTCGGTCCCTGTTCCCCTCACTGCCTGTAGATGGCCTCCTAGTCGGTTCTCATCCTTGACTCACCCTTACTCAGAGACTTAGCATTTGCTGTTCTCATTTGGAACACTCCTCTCTCAAATACTCAAATGATTCCCTCCTAGTTCATTCAGCTTCACTCAAAGGTCATCTCCTCAGACAGACTCTGCCTCCTCTCTAATAACTGATCTTGTTTGGTTGTTCTTGCCAGCTCTTATCACTACCTCCCATTATATAGTACACATTCATACACTTGTCTATTATCTGGCTCCCTCACCAGAACACAGGCTGCGAGGATATGAGAATTTTTCTGATCCATACCAGATACCCGGCACAGTACCTGGCATATAATATTTACGTACCTAGCTATAAATATCTATTAAATGCCTGAATACCAACTCCAATAAGAGTCCAAACTCCACAACACATCAAAAAAATAAGCAGTAGATTTTAGCTGTACTTGATCGCCTGATATGAGATCAGAATTATGTTGGCAGTTAAATATTCAGTTCTTGGGGAGATAATAATCATGTCCATAAAAGTATCAAAGATAGTTTCGGAATCCATGATTATCTGAAACAGCCTGGCTTCTATCACTAGCCATTTAACTAACTCACACATCCAAAAATGAACTCTTCTCTTAAAATTTCATCTTCTTCCTTGATAGATAAAAAATCCAGGCTACAGACATCTCAAAATAAAACTGAGAAAAAGTAGTCTTTGTTAGTATGAGGTTGACATTTACACCACAAATCAAGACTTAAAAAAAAATTATATATAAAACTGAAATCATAACTAAAGAAAATGGAGAGTATGGAGAAGGAAGCTAGAGAAAACACTAAATATGAGTGGTATCTATATACCTGTCATTTCATTCATCATTCTCTCTGAATAACCTAACTGCCAATTAGTAAAAGAAAAAAAAAAAGATAGCATACATTATTTTAACAGCCTCCTCCCCCCCCAAAATATTCAGTGTACAATCAGAAAACTTTGTTTTAGACAACAACGAACTCAAAACACATAATTTTACCTCTGGCCTAATTTAATAAGCTCATGCAATTGGATGCACAACTTTTTCACTGGTCCCTGGAGCTCCAAAAGTTTTCTCAGTCTTCATCTTTGCTTTTCTCACTTCTTCTTTGCTTCTCCCTTACTAAAATGAAACTTGCTGGGCCAAAGAAAAAGAAAAGAACACAAGAGATCAAAGAGTACACTTTTTCTTCTCTGATATTTTTAAATGAGCTATGAAATTTTGTTTACAAATGGTCTTTATAATCTCCATCATGATATGGAAAAGTAGAAAGCAGAATAATGAAAAAAAAATATCTGTGTCAAAGCCTAAAAAACACTATCCCCAAATATTATCACATGAAGGATAAGGGATTCAATATATGAGTCTGGGGCAGGCAAACATTCAATCCATAATATGCACCATGAGGCACATACGCCATCTTGTTCTTCCAGTCATTATATAACACATATTCTAAGAATGTAAAAATCTAAGGTCCAAATAACTTTGATTAGCAAAAATATGTGTGTATATATAAATGTCTAGCCCAGTTCCTTCATAAAATTTAATAAACATTGATTAAACAATGAATACTGTTTACTCATTTTGTAGGTGTCACGCCAGAGAACCACAGAAGTGAAGTTTTGCTCCAGGTGAAAAAGTTACTTGATGACAAGGTCAAATCTGCTGATTACCAGTCCAGTGCTCTTCCCAATAAACCAGACTATCCTTCATAGGCGTGAATGCATTACTACACGTCAGTCAATAGAACATATCATAACCCTGAGTCATATTAGAGTTTGAGGGGTGAGCCCTTGGCTCTCTACTACTGAATTCAGAGAACAAACAGCTCACTCTGAAAGAAAGAGGTCAAGCAACTGATCCCTATCCCAAGACACTACAGAGGGTTATGCTGGCAGGCACGCCCGGTGCAACTGAAGAGGGCTTTGAGCCAGTTCCTTAAAATCAATTAAGAACTCAGAGCTGCTGTTGGAAGGTCCAGGATCAAGCTTGTTTAGGGTAGAATGGGAAACACATAATTGCCCAAGTCCCAAAGAACCCAGAAGGCATTTTAAATGGAGACAGACACCAGACTCAACAGGGCTGGCCAGCACTGGGGGAAGTTCCTGAGAGCATCTGACACAAAAAGATTGAGAGTATCTTACAAGGGCTTGCAAAAGGCATGAGCAAGACCCAAAATGAGAGTGACAACCGCAGACGCCTAGTTAGCCTCACAACCTGGGAACACTGGTCTCAGGCTTTTCTTTCAGAGCACTTGCCTTGATTATATTCCTTTAATTATGTAATTATATGGTAACATCCACCTTCCCAACCAGACTATAACTCTATGAGGTCAGGAGTGGTTTCTATTATCCTCAAATTTTTCCCAGCACACCTAAGATTAGTATCTGATCCATAGTCACTGCTCAACAAATGGCATCTATTTGAGGAAAAGAGTATCAACTACCTTTTGCTAATATCCTTGGGATGAATACTACACAAGGCTAGAAAAAGAATAGAAACTTAGTCTTTCATTACATTCTTCCTGGAGCAATCTGTCTCAAAATATGATGCAGCTGGAAGCCCTGAAATGGGTAAAACCTTGGGTAATAATAATAACAACAGTAATAATACAAAACCCTAGTTTGCATCTTTATAGCTCTTTATTCTTCCCAAATAACATTACATACTTATTATCATTTGCTTCTCATGATATAACTGTTCCCATTTTAAGATGATGAGCTGAACCTCAGGGAGATAATAACTTGGCCTACAACACAAGTCTAACAAAACACAAACCAGGATTCAAATGCAGGTTTCACAATTTCACATCTAGTATTCTTCCTACTTCAACTACTCTAAAATAATTGAAATGTTGGTAAATGCTGATGTCTGAAATAAATGGAAGAAGAATCATTCTAAAATTAGCAAGCTACTCTGTTTGCTAGACTGGTAATTTGAACTTATCTTTGTGGCAGAGAGTCCTCTTGTTCTGGGAAAAGGAAAAAAAAAAAAAAAAAACTAGAGAGGGGCTCTATGGTTATGCAAACTGGGAGTGAAACCACCTTCCCTAAACAGGAAGATCCCGTGGAGAAGGGCATGGCAACCCACTTCAGCCTCCGTAACTGGAGATCCTGAGGGACAGAGGAGCCTGATGGGCTACAGTCCACTGGGTCGCAAATAGCCGGACACGTCTAAAATGACAGCGTACATCCTCTTTCCTAGGAAGGCTAGCGAGCAGTGAAATACCGCTAAGATGCACGTGAGCTTTGTTCACTCTGTATTTACTACCTCTGCGCACTGGCCACTCTTTAGAATGAGACACTGTGGACCACATAGTAATGTCAACTGGGAGTGTCCTTTGACAAATTTTTATCCTTGTGAATTATATTTCAGAATGAAATGCTTCCTTCCCCAGAAAGCATTCTGTCTGCTCTATCACTGCAGATGGTGACTGGAGCCATGAAATTAAAAGACCCTTGCTCCTTGGAAAAAAAGCGATGACCAACCTAGACAGCAAATTAAAAAGCAGAGACATCACTTTGCTGACAAAGGTCTGTACAGTCAAAGCTGTGATTTTTCCAGTACTCATGTATGGATGTGAGAGCTGGACCATAAAGAAGGCTAAGTGCTGAAGAACTGATGCTCTCGAACTGTGGTGCTGGAGAAGACTCTTGAGAATCCCTTGGACAGCAAGGAGATCCAACCACGCAATCCTAAAGGAGATCAGTCCTGGGTGTTCATTGGAAGGACTGATGCTGAAGCTCCAACACTTTGGCCACCTGATGCGAAGAGCTGACTCATTGGAAAAAAACCCTGAGGCTGGGAAAGATTGAGGGCAGGAGGAGAAGGGGGTGACAGAGAATGAGATGGTTGGAGGGCATCACCAATTCAATGAACATGAGCCTGAGCAAACTCTGGGAGATAGCGAAGGACAGGGAAGCCTGGCATGCTGCAGTCCATGGGGTCACAAACAGTTACCCACGACTGACTGAACAGTTCCTCAGGCCTCCTTGCAAGGTAGGTCATGTTGATGTTTGAGTTCTTTATAGGAGCTGGGATGTTGCGAGAAAGAGACCTACATGAGGAAGTGTAGGCTTGAAGCTTCCTACTTGTTGTTCTGAAGGAAAGGACACTGGCGGTGTATGGTGCCATCTGACCCACTGGCAGGGTCCCACTGACAACTTTATTTAGCAAGAGTCCAGAGGCTAGGAAGCATTAACGTCTGATTCAGGGGTTCTGATGATATGGGGGATCTGGGAAGGTCCTGATACCCTGACAAATCAAGACAGGACTTCCTGAACCTAATGGGTATTCCCAGTCAGTATTGTGGACAGATATTAATTCCATTTCAGAGAGTGAGACTGGGCTGGTGGCTTTAGACAGAACGTGGGGAAGTCTGTTTCCTATCCCCAGGAACCAAGGGGACCCCTGCAGTGTTTCCGATACTCGGGGCCTTCTTGTGAGTAGACTGAAGGAGAGAAGCTGGTCTCTGGTAGGCGGAGGCCAACTGGAAACTAAGCAATTTTGAGAGCTCTAAGAAAAGCCACAGCTAAAAGAGGTGATTTAATTGTGCTACTTATGTGTCTAACATCAGCTGTATTTATAAGGACTTATGGAAGAGCGAACCTCACCGTTCAGACAGGCTAGCAAACAGGAAAGCAGGCGTCAAGAGGAGAGTGAGAGGATGGTCCCCAGTAGGCGACAGGTGTGAGCAGAGCATCCAGCGCTGGAGAGTCTGTGACTGCACGGGGGGGGGTGCGGGGGGAGTCAGAGGACTCGACTGGGGGGTGCTTAAGACTCCCCTCAATGGAGTAGAGAACGTTTAGGCAGTAGGCACTGATTATCTAGCACTTAGGCCAAAGAAGGGGAGGTAGTTCAAACTTTCATTATTTAGGCAGTTAAACTATGATTCAAAATTTAAAGGATCTCTCTATTTTGGGGTCATACTGATGAGGCCTCAGACCTGTGGGCTGAAGCCCTCTGCTCCTAACGGCCCCACCCTTCAGACTGCATGAGACAGGCCCACTGAAAGCAGATTCCAGCGACTCTGAGACAGGGTCAACAAATACTTTACAGAAGATTAAAGGTCATGTCTGAAATACTAAATTATGCCACTGGAGTAACTGACTTACCCTCAACTGTCTCTCATTCCTAACTATTCTCTCCATGGCCCCAGGGCTCTCTGACAGACTGTTTTAAAGTCCCTGGGTCTCACCAGGATCAAAGCTCAGACTAGCCCACAGCAGCTCACACAGACCTGCTTCTCCCTCCCAGAGAAAAAGTTGGCCTTGAGAATGTCCTTGAGCAGGGATCAACCACCTGAAAGACTGAAAGGGACTCATTTATCCATCATATATAAAAAGACTATAGTCTCTTTCTCATGCTCTCCATTTAACCACAATTTAGTGCACATTTCAGAGTAAATGGACAAACTTTCATCTTCTATTTTGTACATACAAAAAAATCAGGAAGAGGGATAGAAACAGCATTTGCTGAACTTTAAGCACTAACCATTTACTTCTATTTTAATGGCACTAACTCCTTGGTAGTAATAGCATTTCGTGGTTAATGGCGTAGACATGATTCTGACCTGGGTTTGAATGTCATGCTCTACCAAGGACGCCCTAGTATCCTCAGGATAGTTACTTCTGCCCTGATTATAAAATGATAGCACCTGCCTCAGAGGGTGGTTGTAAGGAATGACTTATTTAATGCATGTAAACACTTAGAAAAACACCTGGCATACAGTAAGTGCTCAACAAATATTACTATCCCTATTTCAGCATCTCTAAAATATTACTGAATTCAGATGCTAATAACTGGGGTATCTTGAAAGACAGACTTAAGAAACAACTAGTTAGATTCTGAACAGTACCTTAATTGTGTTTTGACTTCATCACTTGCCACTTCCATTTATTGCTTTTTTGGCAGCATGCTGGAAAATCAACCACCAGTGTACTCTAACACCCACGCCCCTGCAGCTCTCTAAATCAGATGTTCTTAAATGAGTCAGCACACACCCAAGCATCTTGGTCACTCATCTGATGTACACAGGTTGCAGGTTCCCAAGCAGACTCCGGCTGCTGCTCCAGTAAACATCTGCTGGCAGCATGACAAGGATGCACTGGGGGTTGGGGGGAGTTTACATAAGTACGTCCCTCCCCAGGATTCAGGATTTGTCACGTACAGAAATTGAGCTGATGGCTGCACAGTCTCTGTGTCTGCTAAAAAATAAGCTGAAGAGGCAAGGGTGGTGCACGAGTCTCTGCCCGAGCTGCCTAGAGGAAGCATCTTCTGCCCACATTCTGCCTCGCTGTAACCAGCGCTCCAAGCCCCACGGCTTCATGACCACCAACTTCACACAATTAGCTGAGGTATATACAAAACTGTTTCTGTCTGCTCCTCCCTACATTTTTCACCTTGAACATGACACAATAAAACTGTGAACAAAGATATGTGACAAGAGTGCTGGGAAAGCCATGGGGAAATTTTTGATGAAAAATCAGAAGATCTGACTTATATTCCTTGGGCATGTTACTTACCTCCCGGCACAGCAGTCTTCTCACAAGTAAACTGAAAATAGAAAGTAGTCCATCCACTGCACACGGATCACAATTTCTGGTCCTTTGAAAAGTTCAAAACAAAATGAAAGAAAACGCCAATGCTAGAGTAAAATGTAAAAATCTCAATTCATGGAAAATTCAGCTAAGAAATGGCCTTTATTTTCAAATTCGTCTGTTTATCACCTTTATCAAACTTTCTCTAAAATACATTCGTCCATCGAATAAGTACATCATAAAGACAATTTTGAGCATCTGCAATCTTGAAATCAATCAAGGGCATTTGACTTGTAGTCATTTGCTATTTCAAAATAAAATTCTTGAAAAATCTCTTATCAGAGGATTTCCAGTTAGAGTGTACATGCTGGATAATAAGGTTGTTTTCTTTTCCTGGAATGACACTGAGCTCAATTCTTGTTTTCCACATGCAAACATTATCATAAAGGTGCACCTCCATATCTGGTTACTAAGGAAGAGGTCTGGGAAGCTCAGAGTATGGTCCTAGGCAGGACTACACAGTGAACAGTGATGAAATCAGGTTGCAGAATGAGTTCAGAAAATTTGACTTAAGCTTTCAAAAAGGTGCTTTTTGAAAGGAATGAATGTTAAAGACCTGCATTAGATTTCTAAAAAATAACCATGCACATCTTGCCGAAGTTGAAAAGAGAGAGAAAGAGAGTTGACCATGCTTAATATCAGCCACCAATATACATAATGTGCTTGCCAAAAACTAGCTCTTCCCAGCAGGGCCACCCTACTGCACTGGATTACCCCAGCTTGAAGAGCACAGACAACCAGGTCTGTCTCTTCTTTCTCACTTCTTTATCCAACCACTGCCAGCTAAATTCTGTACCATCACCACCACCTCCCTTTACCTCTGAAACTGTGACTGCCAAAGGTCACCAGTGATCACAAATTGTCAAATCAGTGGACTCATTTCCAGCCTTAGGACCTGCCCTCTTTTTGCATTTGACATCATCAACCACACCCTCACCCTCTTCCTTTGACTTCTGTGATGATGCTCTCTTGTTTCTCCTGACACCTTGGCCACCCCTTTTACAGCTTCCTCTTCTTTCTGTTCTTCAGTGGTACCTGTAACTGCAGGTTCAGTCCTTATCCCAATTCTGTTACCATATACACACTAGCTAGTGACCTTAACTACTCCCATGATTTCAACTACCATCTGAAAAATAAGGAACTCTTGATCTAAAAGTCTCATCCAGAGCCTGAGCACCAAACGTAATACACCTAACACACTCTCGCCTGTGCTTCCCACTTCTCCAGCTCTTGCATTACTCTTCCTGCTCCTATACTCATATCTTGCACCATCCATCCAGGGGCTCAAATTAGAGAACTCAAGGCCTCTTCAGATTCTCCCTATCCTTTAGCTACTACACTGAATGAGTGACACAAATTTTTGCTCCTTATTTTATTTTCTATCCACCTCTTTGTCTGTCTGCCTTGTTCTGTCCTATGATTTACATGACATCAGGAGGCATCTCTGGTTCTTATTCACTGAGGTCTAGAAAGATCATCTCTTATGCTGCTTGCCTCAAAATACATCATTCAAAGTCTCTTTAAGGAAAAAGTTCAACTTTCTGTATACTACTCTAGAAAAAAACTTTGATCAAAACAATTGTTAAAGAAAGTAAGACTAATGCAGACAGGGAAAGAATAAGGAATAACTTCCTACTCCTTGAATTTTAAGGCATCCTGTAGGAACCAAACAATATTAAGAATGTCTCAATAACAAAAGAAAAATGGTCATTATTCATTCTTTCTTTCCACAAAAATTCATTGACTATTTTGTGCTACATGTTCTTCTAAGTGTAAGCGGGCCAAGCTGGGGTAGGTTGGGTAACAGATGATAAACAACTAAATAAGTAAAAGAATATCAGATAGCAGTAAATGGTATACAGAGTATAACAAAGAGTGACTTAGAAGCTACGTTAGACTGAGTAGTCAGGAAAAGTATTACTAAGGAAAGGCCATGTAAGCTGAGAACAGGATTATAAAAAGGAGGCAGCCATGGGAAGATGAGAAGGAAGAGCATTCCACGTCACTAAAGCTGCACAAAGGTCCTGAGGCACAAATAAGCTGGGCCAGTTGGAGAAATGGAAAAAGGCACGTGTGGTTGGAGTGCCATAAACCAGGGATAGGGTTGGGTCACAAATGACAGATATCCATAAACTTCAAAACACTCTCAACAAGGGAGTTTTTACTATTCCCACTTCAAAGGTAAGGAAATAGAAATTAAGCGACTTCATGCAGTGAGAAAGGAAGACCAGATTTTTCTTTGTGGTGTATCTGATTCTAAAACATGTTTCTTTCTCATGGGAAATGATTCAAGATTTCTGACATTCTGGAAATTTTCCACATTGATTTAGCCCCAAATTCTGCCCCAATTTCAGACCTGCATTGTAATGGTAATTGGTTTCCCCCAATCTTCTTGTAAACAAAGGAGGCTTTAAAAAGACCTCTCACATTCAACAAAGACATAAAATGTATGACACTTGGGAAGTCCAAAGATACAAGGTAAGTCTGATGTTTGTACTTCTTTAAAAACATATTTGTTTTTCTGAGTAAAAAAATAACATATGAATATTTAAATTAAAATAACACAGACATACCTAGAGGAGGAAAATATATACCATGTATCTAGTTTTTAAATTAGTTTCTTCTTAAAGTGTATAGTTTTATTTTGTTGTATTATTTATTATTTAATTTTCTGTGATTCTAAATATGCCCAAGGGTATTAAGGATAATACAATAACCCAGATCAAGAAATAAAATATTACCAGTTCCTTAAAAAGCTAACAACAGAACTACTACATGATCCAGAAATTCCACTGGAGGCTATGTATCCAGAAAAAAATGAAACACTAATTTGAAAAGATACATGTATCCCAATGTTCAAAGCAATACCTAGGACATGGAAGCAACCCAAGTGTCAATCAAAAGACAACTGGATTAAGAAGATATGATTTATACATACTATGGAATATTCCTCAACATAAAAAAGAAATGAAATACTGTCATTTGCAGCATCCTGGATGGACCTAGAGAATATTATGCTTTGTGAAATAAGTCAGAGAAAGAAAATACTGTATGATATCACTTATATGTAGAATCTTAAAAATAATACAAATAAATATGAACAGAAACAGACTCAAAGATATAGAAAACAAACTTGTTATCAAAGGGGTAATGTGGGGAAGAAGAGAAAAATTACAGGAATGGGATTAACAGACACTAACAACTATATATAAAATATACAAGCAGCAAGCATACACTGTAACACACAGGGAATTATACCTATTATTTTGTAATAACCTATAATGGAATATCATCTGCAAAAACACTGGATCGCTATTCTGTACACCTAAAACTAAAACAATATTATAAGTAAATTATACTTCAATATAAAAAAGAATTTGAGAAAAAAAAGAAATAGAACATTATCAACACAATAAAGACTTTTCAAAATTCCCATCTCCATTTGAACTTCTTCCTTCCAAGCAGAGATAATCACTAGTTTCAATTTGGTGTTTGTTACTCCATGCACATTTTCATACTTGTATTCATTTACATATACTTTTTCTCAAATGGAAGAAGAACTGAAGTAGAATAACTGATAAACTGGTGAAGGGCAAGTGAGAGTGAGGAGAATAGATTTTGGGGGTCCCAGAAGTTGAGGAAATAAGCACCATCTAGGAGGCACATTCTCCATAAAGACCACTCGGTGTTCACAGGAAACACTAAAATTGTAATTTTGGAACTCTTGTACATTGCTGCTGAGAAGGCAAAGTAAAGCCACTCCAGTAAATAGTTTGGCCAATTTCTTATAAAATTAAACTCATTCACTCAAACTCTTATCACCCAACAAGCCACTCTAAGGGATTTCCCAGGAAAAATGAATGCTTATCTTCCTACAAAATCTGTATGCAAGTACACCTGCTTGATTCATAATCACCCAAAGGTGGAATCAACCCAAAGACCCTTTACTGATGAATGGATAAACAAGCTATGGTACATGTATTCAATGGAACTGCATTTAGCAATAAAAAGCAATAAACCATTGATTCCACATAACAACAACAACATGGATAAATCTGAAATGCATTTTGCTAAGTGAAAGAAGTCAGGCTGAAAAGGCTATATGAGCGAGTGAGTGAGTGAAAGTCACTTAGTCGTGTCAGACTCTTTATGACCCCATGGACTATACAGTCCATGGAATTCTCTAGGCCAGAATACTGGCCTTCCCTTATTTATTCTTCCCTGAAGAATAATTCCCTTGTCCAGGAAATCTTCCCAACCCAGGGATCAAACCCAGGTCTCCCACGTTGCAGGCAGATTCTTTACCAGCTGAGTCCAAGGGAAGCCTGAAAAGGCTATATACTTACTTACAATTTCATTTTTATAATGCTCTGGAACTATAGGGATGGGAAACAGGTAAGTGGTTGCCAGGCATTAAAGAATGGGTGGGGGATCTGACTACAAAAGGGCAACACAGGAAATCCAGGGGCTAACTGAAAGAGAATGGAAACGTAGAGGACACACAATGCCACGCATTTGGCAAAACCCATAGAACTGTACATCACTGAGAATACATTAAGTTTGCCCTCCATAAACTAAACAGAATCAGTCAGGATGTGGGGAAATACGGAATGCAGGCCGTATGTATTACAAATTAAAAACATAACCACATTGAAGGAGGGTGGAGTAAAAAGAAGTTGATCTATTAACTTTGGAAAACAGCATTTTGACCAGATATTATAAGATTCAAAGGAAAAAAAATTTAAACACTGTTGAAAAGTTTGTTCCTCACAGGGTATGGGGTTTCAATTCTAAAACTACTTAATCTGTATGTTAGCTTTGAACATAAACATAAACACATTACAGATAATGAAAGCAAGATTTCTTACCATAGTAAAAAAAAAGTTAGAAATAAGGAAAGTGTTAAGGCTAAAATATGACTCATGGTATTATTTTTAATATGCATTCAGATAGATACAGAAAAATATATGTATGCATATGCATGAGTAAGTGTACCTACATATACTCCATACTTCTATTCATTAAGAGAAACTAGAAACAGTGATACCTCAGTAGCAATTAGCACATCTAGTACTGAGATCTTGGTTTCTATACATCATTCTTCAAGAGAAGGGATGTAACTCTAGTTGATTCCACTGCTGTTACAGAGAAAATGTAAATGATAGTGGAGCATCCTGCAGTGCCAGAAAGTAAGGAAGAGGTAATAAATTAAATTAAATTAATAAATAAAACCATGTTGACAAAGAACAGCAGAAGACAACCTGAAAGAGCTCCCAATGGCCAAAATTAAAACAGCAATAGTAACAAAGTAAATTATGACAGTATTAGATTATAACTGATATTAATACATATTTTTAAATTTAGTTATATATTAATGTCAGTATAGATTCACAAATGTTTTTTTTATTTTGGGGGTTGTAAAGATGCTTGCTCCTTGGAAGGAAAGCTAGGACAAACAGACAGAGTATTAAAAAGCAGGGACATCACTTTGCCATCGAAGGTCCATACAGTCAAAGCTAGGGCTTCCCTTGTGGCTAGCTGGTAAAGAATCTGCCTGCAATGCAGGAGACCTGGGTTCGATCCCTGGGTTGGGAAGATCCCCTGGAGAAGGAAAANGGCTTCCCTTGTGGCTAGCTGGTAAAGAATCTGCCTGCAATGCAGGAGACCTGGGTTCGATCCCTGGGTTGGGAAGATCCCCTGGAGAAGGAAAAGGCTACCCACTCCTGTATTCTGGCCTGGAGAATTCTATGGACTCTATAGTCCATGGGGTCACAAAGAGTCGGACATGACTGAGCAACTTTCACTTACTTCCATGGTTTTTCCAGTACTCATGTATGGATGTGAGAGTTGGACCATCAAGAAGGCTGAGTGCCAAAGAATTGATGCTTTCGATTTGTGGTGCTAGAAAAGACTCTTGAGAGTCTCTTGAATGGCAAGGAGATCAAACCTGTCAATCCTAAAGGAAATCAACACTGAATATTCATGGAAGGATTGATGCTGAAGTTGAAGCTCCAATACTTTGGCCACCTGATGAGAAGAGGCAACTCACTGGAAAAGACCCTAATGCTGGGACAGATTGAAGGCAAAAAGAGAAGTGTGTGGCAGAGGATGAGATAGTTAGACAGCATCACCAACTCAATGGACATGAATTTTAGCAAACTTCAGGAGATAATGAAGGACAAATGAGCATGGTATGCTGTAGTCCATGGACTCACAAAGATTTGGACCCAACTTGGCAACTGAAGAACAACAAAATTAATAAATAAATGGGAGAATGGGACAACTCTTTGGTAGAAAAGAATTTTAAGTAACAAATAACAAAAAAGAAATAAGAGAAATAAAGCATCACTAGAAAAGAATATCATAGTAATAATTATCACAGGCAACATCCACTGATAAAAGGTAAAAATAAGTGAATCATAAAAGTACTACATGACAGGTAGTTTTAACATGAAGAGAAATCAATATTGACAACTTTGAAAGTTTTTCTCAAAGTAGCTATTAAAGCACAGTATTATTTATTGGCACTTAAAGTATCAATAATATTACTAACTTTCCTTGAGCAAATACTAGATTCTAACCACCATTTATATGTGCTAACTCATGTAATTTTCCCAGCAAACTCATCCCATTTAACAAATGAGAAGGATATTAGATAGCTTTCCCAAATTTACATGATTAGTAAATGATGCATCTATAATTTAAAACCAGAACTTTGTGATAAATAACTAGATGATTGGAGAAGGAAATGGCAACCCACTCCAGTATTCTTGCCTGGGAAATCCCATGGATAGAGGAGCCTGGTGGCCTACAGGCCACCGGGTCACAGGAGTCGGACACAACTTTGTGACTCAAACACCACCTCCAATTAGATGAAAGATTGATAAATAGATGATAGATATTAAATGTCATACATATATAAAAGTGATAATGTATAGAGATGTGTATGTACTATATCTTTATCTAGTTATTATTAATCAGAGTCAAAATAAAATCAACCCCCCAAAGAAAACACTAAGTGTTGAACTAAAAAGGAGGAAAATGGGGAAATACTGGGACATCACATCTGGCTAGAGTTTTGTCTTTATTTTCTTTGAATAGAGAAAAGATGGGTCTAGTGAGATGATATGGGAACAACCGAAAACTAAGCTCTACCTATGTCTCTTTCAAAACTGAGAGCAGCAAGTATGCTTTTTATCTGTCAGGGAACTCAAATATTTTGCTTTGAGGGTGGTTATCCTTTTTGGAAAACTGGAAGCTATCATAGAAGTTTCAGGGTGACAAAGCTGCTGAGAAGCAAGCTGACATGTGAAGGTTCATTTCATGGAGAAATCTCTGCTCTCCCCTGAGGTTTCTGGGAAGGTCAGCAGCTGGAGCCACAGTTATTATCAACTATACAGCCTCTGAGTCATCCATGTGCATAAGTTGTTGTCCTGATAAAATATTTCTAGCCCAATATCTTCAGAGATTAAGGAGATGTCTTTATGGGTTACATTTAATAGAGATAAAGCTCAGTTTAGGGATGAAAAAGAAGTCATAACTTAAAATTTCAGTTCAAACATATTTTGTTTTCTAATAGGACAATAATAATTTTATTTCATGTCAAATACATACATACACATAGAATAGTATTGACAGACTATTTGAAGAAATTATTCTAATCTTATTAGGTATAATAATAGAATTGTGGCTATGTTACAGAAAAGACTTCTTACATTTTAAAGATTAATATTTACAATTAAATGATATTATTGCTGGGATTTGTGTCAAAATATTATAGGAGGGAAGATAGGGGAGAGTATAGATAAAACAAGATTGGCTAGGAGTGCCTCCCTGTTGAAGTAGAATAATGAATTCTTAAGTGCTCTAAACACTATACTGTCTACTTCTGTAAATATTTGAGAATTTTTATAACAAAAAGCTTTTAAAAATACAAATTTGTCTATTACAACTTCGTATAAGCAATAGCAACGAAACCTCAAATCACACTCCGAAAAACAGTACTTGTGGAGGAAAGATGGGGCATAGACCACTTAGAACCACTCAACTTTGAAACCAGAGAGCCAAGAGAAATAGTAACAATCCTATTAAAAATTAGGCAACACAATTTTTTTAACATTAATATGTAGTAAAGAAGGAAATATGAGGTAAACATATTTCTTACCTTTAAAATAATGAAATTTGTTGACAGGGCCTGTAAGCGCAGGTTGAGGCGGCTCCGCCTGAGGTAATGGAAAACCGCGCGAACGCCGCGAGAACTGGACTACTGAGCCTGCTTTTGCAAGATGGCGCCCCCGCCAACACCTGCGCGAAGGCGAGATAGCGAGGTGAATCGTCCCTCACTCCGCGCGTCGTGAACAGCGCTGTGCTCCTGTAAAGCTTGCTGCGCCGTTGCTGTGCCTTACACCCGACTTTTGTTACCTGGTGGGGAAAACACTGACATATTGGACTAGCTTGTGCATGAACCAAGGCAGTTTATGTGAAGCTCTAACTTTACTCCCCAGTGTAACTATCAGCATTAGAATCTGTCATACATAGAACATACTACGTTAATTTAAAGGAATATTGCAAATTTTCTAATTTACTGTATTACCCTTAGACTCACCTCTTTCCTCAGTAACTATTTTCTGGTCCAATCGATTTCTAATGTATTTTAAAATATGTTCATATGAAAAAATAATATGTTCATATGAAAAAAAAAATATGTTCATATGAGAATAAAAGTTCTAATGGTATCAAAAGATACTGAGAGTAAAAGTCTCTTTTTCCTGGGTCCCCTAATTTCTACCTAGTTTCACTCCGCAAAGAAAATCACTTGTAATTATTTATTAGTTGTTCTACATAAATGCTCATTGATTCATCAACTTTAAACAGGAATTACAGATTCCTTAATGTGAAAGATGAAGATGTTTATCCACATTTGTTGTAATACTAATTTATACTCTTTTTTTTTTCAAGTCAGCCTGGTAGCCCACAGTTTTTCTACTTCTTTCATTGGTCATACAGTATTCATATTTTTAAATGACAGAGATATTTCTTGATCCATCGTTGACTCCCAGTTTTAAGACAACTCACATTGCTTCCCTCCGCTATTCAGCTTGTTATCTAAAACTCCTACATTGTCAAGGCTTATAAGATTTACAGTCTAAAACAGTAAATCAGTTTTTCAGAAGTTTGTCCATAGGTTGTTTCCAGCCCATGTTCAAAATATTACAGCCCTTTTCTTCTGGTATCTCTTTAATTTTATTTTTAATTTCAGCATTTAAATTTGTAAATACAATTTCAAAATTTTTAAAAATTTTATAAATATGATACCCTCTCCTATTCTGAGAGTATTAATTAAAAATGGGTAAAGTGGCACCTGGAATCATTTCTTCTGTGTCATCAACTTGGTCTTTATTTGTATTCCTCATTTCCCCCAAACAATTAGAATTCCTCCTATATTTTCAAATTTACAACTGGGGAACCAAGTAGATTAATATAAATAGTTGGCATATATTCCTCTATAGGGGCCAACACTCAGAAGGTTTTTCTGTAAAATTTGCCAGTTCTAAGTGCTTTGTTCTAAGTGAGGGCAGGTGTGTCCTTTAAATGCCTTTAGTTTAGGTGTCTAGACTGAGAGCCAGGTCAAATGCTCCTAAACCCTAAATGGCATCTTCCATGCATCTCATCCCAAGCACTCTCACACAGCTTATTTGAAAGCATATTACCCAGATTCAGCAAAGGGATAAACCACCCACCATTTCCATGATAGGTAGAGGTTGATTTGTTCTCTTCACAGCTTTCAGTTAGTCTCTGATTTCTGATCTACCTCCCATTCCTGTTTTTTCACAAGTGCAGGGGGCGCAAACCTCTACCACTCTTACCACCTACACTGTAGCCTTTCCTGCGTTCTGGGCTGCATCTTTCTTGATCTGATTTATCTCATTATGATTCTACCTACTTTCCATGAGAAACTTGTCAAAATCTCACATCTTCTGATGTCTTTTTCTCACTTTATTAGCGTTGTCATGAATTTATTCACTCTCATTCTGGAAGGCAAATGTGGTGATCTGTCAGATCCAAAAGCTGACAGCATTTACTCTATCTTCCAAGTACTCCAGTGAAATTGAATTGGGATCATGGTTACTAGGTGTTGGGCTGTACCCCAAGGGCCTGCAAGTCTTGGCGCTGCCCTGAGTTGAGACTGAAGAAAGAACCTGGAGAACAACAGAGACATCATCACTGGTTTATTGAACAGGGGGCCTGGAGCAGCTCCCCACCACGTGCAGCAGCCAGCGGGTGGACAGGACAGCAGTCTTTGCTAGGAGGCTACTGTTTATAGGGGGAAATGACATCAGTTGGGCTTATCAGTTAGCAGAGACTAATTAAGTCCTGTAATTAAGAGGACTGGCGAGTCATGTGAGTGAAGCAGGGACAGGTTGAGCAGAGAATGTACAGAGAGCAAGGAAACAGCCATCTTACATAGAGAAACAAGTCTGCAGTTACCTACACATAAGAGAGAGTGGTGAGAAAACTGAATGTTTGACCTTGAAATTAGCAAAAGTTACCAGCTGTTGGCAATGACAAGGTCTAAGTTATGAGTGTGGCTGTAAGTGACTGAGAGGGGATGAAGGACAAGAGCATCAGGAGAGACAAAGTTAAGGAATGAGGCAATGAGAAATAAAGAGGATGCCTACCTCCTCCTCCTTCAGCTCAGAGTACAAGGACTGTGAGAGAGAAGAGTCACCTTTTTAGTCAGTTTCACAGAAGAGGTATCGTCAACAGAAAGGCTAGTTTCAGTTAGAAAGCAAGAGAACATTCACAGAGGGGGCTGATGATACAGGGAATGTTTTTGATGATTCACCTCAGGTTCTATAGGGCACAGAGAAGGGACTCCAGGAAGAGGGGAAGGATGGGACACAGGATAAGAAAGAAGAAAGAGATCTCAGAGACTTACATCAATTAGTATGGAGACATACTAAGAAACCCAAAAAGATATCATTATTTCTTTTTATTACTTAGCCATAGAAAAGAATGAAATTCTGCCTTTGCGACAACTTGAATGGATGTAGAGTGTATTATGTTTAGCGAAATAAGTCAGACAGAAAAAGACAATTACTGTATGTAATCACTCATGTGGAAAGTCAGAAATAAACGAATGACTATAAGAAAACAGAAACAGACTCACAGATCTAGAGAACAAACGAGTGGCTTCCAGAGGGGAAGGGGGAGGGGAGAAATAGGAGAGGGGATTAAGAGACCCAAACTACTATGTATTAAATAAATAAGCAAACAGGTTTTATCAGATAGCCCAGGGACCTATAGCCATTATTTTGTAATAACTTTAAATGGAATATGATTGATAAAAAAATATCAAATCACTATGCTGTACACTTGAAACTAATATTGTAAATCAACTCGATGCCAATTAAAAAAGGATATCTGTTATTTCTCCTTCCTTTTTACTGTTGTATATGTTGTTCTATCTGGCTGCATAACTCTGGTACCAGCAGAAGGGAAACATGATACTTTGTTATTAAACACCCACGTAAATTGTAAAACAACAGGCAAACTTTCCACTGAGCTTCCAGTTTACATAAGGTCCACCCCAACTTAACAGGAAGGGATTCTTCAGTCTCAAGTTTTAAAGCCACTCCAAGTGGCAGCCCCTCCTATGGCCCCTTCCCTTTCCCAACACTCTCTCCTCTTCCATCTGGGCCCTCCCTGTTGTTTATTTCCCTCCAGGTGGCACTAGTGATCAAGAATCCACCTGCCAATGCAGGAGACACAAGAGACATGGGTTCAGTCCCTGAGTCGGGAAGATCCCCTGGAGTAGGAACTGGTAACCCACTCCAGTATTCTTGCCCAGAAAATTTCATGGACAAAAACAGCCTGACGGGCTACAGTCCATGGAGTCAAAAAGAGTCAGACACAACTGAGTACAACAAGTGAGGGCAGTTATAGAAGGAGCTTTAGTAATATAACCAGACTTTTTCTACTACCCAAAATCACCTTTTGTCTTAATCAATTGGGGCTACTAAAACAAAATGCCATAGACCAAGAAGCATATAAGCAATAAAAATTTCTCACATTTCTGAAGCCCGAGAAGTCCAAGATCAATGTGCCAGAGATTTAGTGCCTAGTGAGACCTTGCTTTCTGGTTCATAGACACCTTCTTTTTGCTACAACCTCACAGTGGAAGGAGTGAGAGATCTCTCTGCGGTGTCTTTCATAAAGGCACTCATCCTGAGGGCAGAGCCCTTATGACCTGATCACCTCCCAAATGCCTTACCTCCAAATGCCATCACCTTGCCGGTTATGATTTCAAAGTAAGAAGTTTGGAGGGACATAAATGTTCAGTCTATAGAGCAGAGCCTTCCTCTTTGACATTCTCTCTTAAATTTTATTATGATGCTACAAGAGTCAGATATTAACTTGAATTACCAGAAAAATGCCCTTTTATTTTCCTGGCTTTTGGGATGTGCCAGATTCCAGGAAGGGATGAAAACAAAATCTTCTATCCTATACTGTTAAGTTCTTAGTCCTCGCCTCACCCAATTAACTCAGGTACCACATCTTCCAGTAGCACCCTGTTTGCATCACATCACACCATTTTGTAATCTTGCAATTACATGTTTTTGTTGACCTTTTCATTAGATTAAAAATTACTTCATGGCAGGGATCACCTCTTATGAGTATTGATATATCACAATGCTTAGTTATATAGATGCTTAATAAAATTTTTGTTGAATAGATGAAAACCTAGTTCATTTTTTAGAAGCCTAAATCCAGTTGTAGGGTGATGGTGGCAGTAGTTAAATTTGATTTAACAGTAAAGTCCTTTAAAATGATACTGAGGTGTGTGCTGGAAAAAAAAGATAATACTCTGATTAAGATCAAAACTTTTTTCCCCCAAGAACTATATTAGTGAAACAGACTGGGACCTGGGACACTTTTCTGCAATCCTTGCACCTGAACAAACATCTCCTCAAGCAATAGAATACAAAGAAACTACAAGGGATTAAAATAACTGCATGCAAATTATGAGCAACAAGATACCAAAAGGCCAACACTCTCTGCCACTTCTGAAGAGCCAGGAGCAAAAGCAGGGTACTCTGAACACAGGACCACCAAGGGGATGGGCAGACCACCTAAGCCACGCCTCTGGCCCACTCACCAATCCATCCCCATCCTCACCCCATTTAAGGAACCAACTCGCCCCTGATGATCTCCTTAACAAGGGAAACTGCCATTTGTTTTTGCTTCCTTGTGAAGGCCTGCCTGAACTTCTCCTCTGGTCTCTTATCAATTTCTATTGA